GGTATAAAAAAGACATGCAATTTCTCAGGATTTATTTTAGTAAAAAGGAACCTTGAGGTAAGCGGACGTTGACCGTTTGTGAAATAAATTATGATGGAAAAATTCTGAGTTTGACGGTTTAAAAAAAGAAGAGGGTTAGATTCTTTTTTTTTTTTTTTTTTTCAAGTGAATTTTTTAAATTTTAAAATAAACAAGCTTAATGCAGGTAGAAAATTGCATGGAAATTTTTTGTGGTTATTTTCATGTAATTGATGATAATTATATGTAATTTATTTATGAAGATAAAAAATTTGTTTATACGTAGTACGTTCGTGATACTGAACCAAGTAGACATTCGATAGTTTATTTTTTAATTAAATAAATTCGTGATAAAAAATGTATAAAGAGATTTTTTTAAATGTTTAAATTCATTTGAAGGTATCATAAATTATCGAATGTTTTCTTTTCTTTTACTATCATAATATTTTTCAAGTCTTGCTTTTTTTTTTTTTTTAATCAAGATAGATATTTTTAATTAGAAAAATAATTAAAATTATCACGAAAATTAAATTAGCCGACATTTAGAAATTTTTATAATTTATTTTATTGAAAAATAATTTTTAAAAAATTAAAAAAATAATTTTCACTTGTAGAAAATTAAAAAAATTATACGTAGAATTTTTTAAAAATAGTTTTTTAGTTATAATTTTGATTTAATAAAAAAAAATCAAAAATTTTTGAATGTCGGTTAATTTTATTTTCATAAAATTATCTTTTTTTTTTTAATGATAGATTTAATAATTTTTTTTAAAATTATTATTGCTTTACTTGTATACTCCTAGGTTCTTACAAGGCTGATATTCCTTTTTTCTCCTAGCTCTACGCTTTTTCTATCTCTCATATTGGACCTCAGCACGTCCCACCCGACACTTGATTTTTAATATTTTTATGATAGATTTAATAATTTTTTATTTATATCATTACAGATGTCTGTAAACCAGAATCATAAGAATCAAGCGGAAAAAGCGCGGGTAAGTAACTTTTAAATATGAAAAAAAAGTAGGTGGCACCACCAATCGTTGACAATCTTTTTTAGCAACCGAGCAACCATCAAATGAATAAAATGTTCGTACGATCGAAATTTATATCACCTGATTAAATTGTTTATTAACAATGGGAAAGTTTGATAGTTGTCTACAGTAAAACTTAATAACTAGTAATTAAAACAATTATAAACGTCAAGGCCGGGACGTTGATAACAATTATGTATACGTATATTGGAAACTACGAAACATTAATTAAATTATTTGCTAAGAGGTATCTGACAACGTTAAAGTTCGTATTTCTAATTAGTAAAATTAATTCTCGACCTCGGTGACAAGGTACTCTAGTCTCAATTAGTCTTACGGCAATTGGCTGAGAAACTGACGTCTGGGACGTCAATGCGAAATTGCTTTTCCGAATACAATAATCAGCTTACTGATAATATATCATGATTCACGATGCATTGCACGTAACTACTAAATATTAATCTATTTATTATATACAGAGGTATCGAATAGCAACTTGTTATTTAACGATAAATAATAAATAAAATTTATTGACACACAGGAGCTGGATAAAATGAAAGATTAATAATAAATGTTCACTGAGCAACAAAATAAGGACAAATTGCTTCGATCTCGATCTTGATATTGCTAAGGTATGACATTTTACAAAATAAATCTTGCGAAAAGTGCTTGAATAATAATAAGAATAAGAAAGTATTAAAAGAAAAAGAATAAAAGTTTAAGTTGGAAAAAGTAGTCAAGTTGAGCATTAAGACCAGATTGAAAATTGAATTATTAACGAGAACGACGACGTCCGGCATATAAATCATACGGAAATATTACTTTTCTTTAGAAACGGAAACATGACCATCAGTCGTCTGCTGGGTGTTTTTTTTTCTATATGTATATACTTTGCCAATTCAACTGTCCCCAGTTTCCCTTCCGTTTTCTTACTATCGTCTCAAGAGCACCTCATTTTTATCATTGCCTTTTTTCGCTTCGTTTTGTCATTTTTCCAACCTCACATCTCTCTTTCATTTCCTCTAGCATTTTTATTAAAGTCCTGTCATTTTAACAATTCAAAGCTCGTCTGATACCAACTGGTGACACTTTAATCATTTTTTTTTTATTTTTACATCCTTCCTTTTTCAACCCGTTCTCATCCTAAAATTTTTTTCATTTTTATTTTTATTTTATCCTGGTGAACTAAACAAAAACGCACTTGGTGCGATACGTAACGAACCATTTCATGCCGAATATTTATCTTTTATCAGCTGTAATTCAGCGTTATATTGTCAATGTCATCGCCAATATCCAATCTGTCTATTTTTTTTCGATAAGCTTCTTTTCTATGAATATTAAATAAAACAAAGTGAATGAATAAAACTCAATAGATAACTATCGACAATTAAATTCTTGAATTTAATCAAAGTTAAATTTAACTGCATAATTATACTTATTCGTTTATTTATTTTCAAATTAATTTATATGCACAGAATATTCAAATGAATAGAACTCGGAGCTGAGTAAATCGTTTGATATCTTCGGCTTGAAATACCGCAGAGTAATGCGCATTGAAATCAATGATTTGATTTGAGGTTCTCCGATTGATCAAATGCACGCATGAATTTACACCAGATTATTGAAAATATTTAAAAGTGTATACTTGGAAAATAAAAACAAAAACAAAATGTGAAGTAATTGATGAGCAGGAAGGTGATATGTTGAGAGATGATCGATTGGACGAATGAGTACACTTGAGTTTTATTTTCCGAAGTATGTATCTGAAGATACTTGTTTTATATAATGTATAAGTATACATGTGTTAACAGATTGAATGTAGGAAGTTATGGATAGAATTTATAATAAATAAAGAGAAAAGAGAATATTATTATCCACATAGAGTGATTCAAATAAAATCTTTATTTTAAAAGGATCGTATCGAGAGAAGTGTCGTTACTTGACAGAGTTTAGTCGCAAACTAACTATAATGTTAAAACTACTTTATTGTAAGATCTAATCCTCTGTATTGTCCTTAGTAAAACGCATGTTTTTTTTCTTAACTAAGACCGTAATATTTGGTTGTACTGTACAGTGTAAAATAAGGAGTCCTTTGTATAACTCAAGTACCTAAGGTCATAAAATCAAGCCTATACAGGCTTTCTTATTCTAGCTGCACAAATATGTTTTTCACATTTAAAAACTAATAAAAGAAAATACGTTATTTTTCTAAAATAAATATTTCTAAGAACTAAATATCTGAAATATAAAACTAAAAGTTTGTAACTGGAATTTATTTTTGCTCAGAGAATCCAACAATGAACAATAGGTTTTTTTAAATCAACGAAAATCAACTCTGCAGAAAAAGGGTTAATAAATATTTTTAGTTTTTCACCTGGCATACGGTACAAGTTTCGGGAAAACAGCCCGCGGATATACAAAATGAAAATGTAGCAGACTCGTGAGCACCGTCTGTTCACTTATTCCAATATCTCGAAAACCAGTAGTGACAGATGCTGTTGTACGAACAGAGCCACGAATACGTGCCATCACGAATGTTATTACTCTAGATCTTGAGTATTGAACTGAAGATAACCTACCCAAGTATATATCTTACAAAGTTTTCCCATAAAATACTATTTTATGCTGAATAACGAGAAAACAGTTTTTATTAATTATTCCAACAAAGTAAGTTACTTTTTTTTTTTAACTTTTGTTCAACTTGTAAAAATTTTAAAGATGCATTTAAATTATTTTTAGTTCTTGGATAAATTTTCTGAAGCTTTTGACCTAGTTGAATAGAGGAATAAGAAATGTATCAATTGATAGCTCGAAAATATTTCAAAAGCTGCTTTTCAGGGAATAAAAAACCCGTGGTATTGTAAATTCTAGAAATATCAATACGTCAGAAAACAGTTATATCTCAAGCAAAAAGTATTATTTAATATTTAAAATAAAATGCTACTGGTCGCAAATAAATATTTATGGAAAAAAATAACTGATCCGTAAATAAGAGCGGTGTATTTTGAGGGTACTCGTATTTTTAATGGTATTCAAATGACATTAATATGTTTTGATAGACCATTAGGCTGTGAACCAAAGTACCCTGTCGTATTGAATCATGTCATTCTGACGCTAATGTAATGTTCGATGTTGGCATCAACGAGAAGACACAATAGCACACATAGCCCGATCGGAAATACTGCTCTTTCGATGTTCATCTATACATATACATGTATATATGTATTGTATGTACGCATACTTACTTGTCGTACGTACATATGTAGCAGTTAATGCAGCGTAACCATTCGGGAGTCGTCGAGTGTCAAGAGGGTTGAAAAGGGACACTAGGGAAAACCATCGCCCTTTCCCTCAAGCTCATGTCACGGACTTGCACGTACAAGATGAGGTAACATGAGACACTTTATGTATAAAGCTATTCATTTTTTAAACCTATCCACTCACATTAATTACTCTTTAATTACATAAGTAAAATTAAACTTTATTTATATTATTTAAATCATTTTTATTATATATAAATATATAAAACATTTAATTTAAATAATTTTCAAAATAAATTCATTTAACAATATAGGTCAATAAATACAGTCTGATATATATTATTCGAAAATATGAATTTAAAGTAATTAAAATATACACTTATTAACATTCTTATAAAATCTATAATTTGATTGAGTATGCGTTAAGAGTGTTAACAACAAAGTTTATTAACTTACCCTAAATAAATGAGCATTTTTATTTGTTTATTAAATAGAAGTAATTGTAGAAAAGTAATGTATAGAAACAGATGGCACATGTATGGATAAATAATTTATACTGTTATAATTATTACTATTATTATTACTTTAATGTAGTTCGGTAAACTCTTGAGGCTATTTATTGATTCAACCGTTTATAATCTCCTTTGCATAATATCCTCAAACTCAGATGAGAGAAGACACGTGGAAGACTTTAAACTTTAGAGATATTGTTGTGAACTTTCGCTTTACTTCTTTGATCGTGTTTGCTCTGTTTTACGTGCTTGAGATGCTTGCACGAAACTCGCACTCGGTAAACTTGGTTTTGAAATTCTTCAAATCGCATCAAACTCGCTAAATTGAAAATAATAAAAATTAGTTATGATTAAAGTGAATAATTATAGTTAAAAAAATTAATTTACAGATGAAGAAGAAATAAAACAGAATAATTGGGAATCAAATAGTATTATCTATAAATATAAAAATAAATAGTTGTTCGTTAGTCTCGCTAAAACTCAAAAACGACTAGACTGATTTTGATCATTTTTTTTTTTAACGTCATAGTTCAAGGATGGTTTAGAAAGAAAAAAAAAGTTGAAAAATAAATCCTAAATATGAAAAAATCAAAAATATTAAGTAACATTTATTGTTTCCTTCTTCACAGCAGTATTTCATTTGTCACCTATATAAGTCTATCTATCTATCTATATATATATAAAAATGAATAGTTGTGCGTTAGTCTCGCTAAAACTCAAAAACGACTGGACCGATTCCAAAAATTTTCTTTTTGTTTTGTTCGCTATAGTTCAGGGATGTTTTAGAAAGAATAAAATTTTTGAAAAACCCAAAAGTTCAGCTAAGGAAATCAACAGATCTAAAATTGTTAATTGTCTTTCTTCTGTATATATGGACAAAAAAAAATTTCATAAATTCAGTGTTTATTTTTTGGGATCTTGATTTTCAGGCAATAATGAGAAGCGAGTTTCATTTAATAACTTGACAAAATTCTAACCGCACTTCATACAGCCAGTATTTATTCTTTATCGAAGTAGATTAGAGTTTAGAGATTGATAATCGCTGTTCGAAAGGTATAATAAAATATATTGTAGGTGGTACGAAGTTCACCGGGTCAGCTAGTACGCTATAAATATTAACTGAATAAACATAATTATCAAATTTTTCTAATAAACTAAATTGTACTCAATAAAAAAGATTAGATACATTAAGATTTATTATTCTTTTTTTCTAATTATTGTAAATCTTTATGTTCACAGATCAGTGATTAAATTCATCCGTGAAAAACATCTGAGTGAAATAGGAATATAAAAAGTCGTATTTTGAGATTTATATCGAGCAATAGTCTTGGAGCATAAAATTTATCTACTAAATTGTATCTACTAAAAGCTGGTAACAACCCACATGAGAGAATTTATCACAAGGATTTAATACTTTTTTCCGAGTGTAGGGAGCCCTTATTCTTATGAGCTTTCCTAAAGTAAGTACTCTAGTAGTAAGATGAACTCTGTATTGTATCCAAGAATTGATACTAAAATTAAAATTATTGCAGGTATATAATACATTACCTCTGATTTATCAGTATCAACACTATTCAGATGAATGCTCTCGGAAATGGGTGTTAGAGTCTCTTTGTCATGAGTTTTGAGACCGAAAACAATTCGGTAGAGCGAAGCAGATATTGCAGCTCCGGCAATAGGTCCAAACCAGTAAACCCAATGTCCCAGCCATGAATTATTCCAAATAGCTGGAGCAAAAGATCGAGCTGGATTCATACTGCAGCCAGTGTATGGCCCGAAAATAGTTGCGAGACAAGTTACGCCCAACCCAAATCTGATAGATGTGGAATCTGTGTTTGAGGCATTACGTATGTCCCATACTGCACACGCTATCAACATTAGGACCATTGTTGCCATAGTTTCTACCATAAGACCTTGAACATTCGAAACTTGGGGGCTTATCATCGTAACACAGAACGTCGAGGCAGCTTCTGGACCGCCAGATGACAAAAAACCAGTTGGTGTGCAGAGCTGGTGAGTAATTAAAATTTTATTGAGTTAGCAGTAATTAAAAATGTGTCGTCATTTGTTGCTTTATATAATGCATATGTTATTTTCAATTATAATTTTATTCGCAAATTGTATTTTTTTTTTATTTAAAAACAATTAAGATCTCGAGATTATTGATGTATTAATTATAATGATAATCTATTCACACTTATCATTTATCTCGTAATTATACTTTTTTTGCTGAATTTAATTATAAATGAACAATAAAACGCGATATCATAGTTTACCTTGAGTAGACCATAACCCAAAATACCGCCGAGGATCTGAGCAATAATATACACAGCAGCTTCAGATATCGATTTTATTCCCAATACCACAGATCCCACCGTAATTGCAGGATTCACGTGGGCATGACTTATATGGCCAAAGCACTGCAATTGAAAACATCCAAAAATTTTTAATTAAATCTAGAGTAGAATAATTTTATTTTTTTAATTAAATTCATTTATACAGATTCAATAGCCGCAAGTAATTTATCCGGTGATTATAATTGCAACGTAATTGTGCAATCACTATCAATTATGAAATAGATGATAAAAATTATTTTTAATAACCTACCGGTCATTATGTTATTTGTTAGTTGTTTTTGTTTTAACAAATAATAATTTTTAATAGTTTATCATTAATTAAAATATGTCAATGATATTTATCGCGTTATAAAAGTTTGAAAAAAAAAATTTATAATATTACGTTAGAGTAATACTTTGATCAAGTTATTTATCAGCAAGCTTGCATGTTACGAGTAATTACACTTTGGAAAAAAAAAATATTTAAAATATAAGAGATAGTAGGAAAGCTGATGTACAAACCTGAATAACAATCATAACTGCCAAACCGAAAGTCAAAGTTATTTGTAAATGTGATGGTGAAACTCCTAAACTTCCGATACACCCACCACATCCAAGGAATATCAGTAATCCAGTACCGACTAGTTCAGCCATACCACTGAGAAATGTGTCCCACATATCCCCATGTCCATACATCATTTTGTATAACTCTATAACAAAATCAATTATTTATATTATCATTTTTTTAAATTTATCTTCATGGAAAATAAACTCCAAAGATTTATTTATCAAAAGTTTTTCATCGTATAATTTAATTTGACACTTTTATCTCTCAGATTGAATTTTTAAACTATTTGATTTATCAGTTCATTCAGTGATCTTCTTTTATCTATGTATCAACAGAACTTTAGTTCATCTAACTTATTTATAATTATTTCGTAAAAGTTCATTTATCGGATCATTTTTTCGCAACTTTTTTTTCAAGTTTAAGTTGAAGGCCATAGTCAGAAAATAAAGATAAGATATAAAAGATTGATCAATTGTAAATTTATTAAAAATTATATGGTAAAATAGTTCTTATATATTTTATACTTACAAATATGTATAAATTGATTGAAACTATAATATAAAATCTCATGAAAATTTAAATTAGTTAAGATATCTAGAACCAGTTTTTCATGATCTTACAAATATATTATTTCATAAAAACTGAGAAAAAAATTATTTTCTATTTCAATTATTTTTTTTTTGTTTACTAATAATTAAACTGTATTATAAAATTTCCGAACAAACAAAATTGATGATTAAAAAACTAAAAATATCTTTTGTTGATAACTTTTAAAGAAAACAATCTTATTATCATACATTTGTTAGATTAAGAAATAATATTCATTTTAGCAATCTTTAAAAATTTTACCAAAATAAAACATTAACTTTTAACTATATTTATGGAGCTTTTCTCAAAAGCTTTATCCTTCGTTTATAGAGTTTAATCAAAAGTCTATTAAATGTTTATAATAAAAGTAATTTTAATGATATTCTCAATGCTAGTTGTCGTATACTCATAGCATTCACCCAGTAATTTATTGTGTCCTGAATCCCGAACGTGTTTCTCGAGTCGGAAACTATGAGAACACAATATAAATGTATATATATATATATATATATATATATATATGTACATATATAGGTATAAATGGTAGAGACCAGCAGCATCTCATAAATAATTCGAGTTATACTCGAAACAGGTGTGATTTAAAACCGAGTAATTACATTATCCACAGATTGAATAATAAATAAAGTGGAAGCTTAGAAAAATCATTGATCGTATTAAGTGCCCATTAATCTTGATCAATCATCGAATTTAATCTTATCTACGCTCTAAATTTAGTATCCATTAGTAGAATTAAATAGTTGAAAATGATAGAGTCGTCAATTGGTTATATTTATAAATCAAACACTAGAAAAACAAACATACTTTGACGTTTCTCGTTTTTATTGAAATTTATTCTGCTAACTTGTATATATTTATTATTATCATTCATACATCAACGGTATAAATACTTTTATCTATATTTTAATCACAAGTAAATACACGTGTTGTTCGACTTGCCTACCCAGGCAAGCAACCTTTTACGCATACAAACAATTTTTTAATTCTATAATTAACTCAAGAACCATAAATTTAATTACGCATTACACACTGTTTTAGCTTATTACTCATTCATAACACAGCATAGTTTAATAATCTATTATTTTAATTATTAACGTGCAGATACTAAATATATTTTACCGTACTTGCAGTACTGATAGATATATTTAATTACAATCGATCGATGGTAATCGATACTCAATTACGGTAAACAGGCATTAAAATTCAGCTATAAATTACTGATTTTTTTAGCTGTGATTAATTTAAACCTTGGAAGTTAATATATATATCAACGCACATTGAATTATAAATAGTTTACAGTTGAGGTAATTTTTATATATTGTTATTCTTATTTTTATTATTTTCAGTGGAATTTAAAATTGTGTTTACTTAGTTTGACATTGAATGCACTCTCATACCTTATGCGTCTCATTTAACATAAATAAGGTAAAAGTCCCTATTATGAGACGATGTCCCCATTTATGATACACTACATAAAAATACTATTTTATAAAAAAAAAAAACACACCGCTAGCATACCAAAAGTATAATAAATATATTATTTCATCTATTCCAAAAGCAATTTTCGACTTTGGTTGTTAATTAATTCCATACTGTTTTTTAAAAATATTTATTAAAGTGCGAGGTTTGTTATCTGTGCTCAAAGCCACGACCGAGAATAGTAAAACGACAACGGCTACCTAGTTTTTTATATTAGTGTAATTTCATTGTGTCTTCTACTTTTATATTAAATTGTATATCAATTGAAAGCTGATGAGTAATAAACTTTATTTCTATACACATTTATGCGTTTTTTTTATTACAATATTTTAAATATGAATGTCTCACAATACCTACACTTATTTACGTGAATGCACCGGTTTATGAGACACTTTTCTCGGTGTATAGTGTAATACGGACATATGTTTTTCGGCTTCTCCCGATTAAGTGAGACAGTGTACATTTATAAGATTTTATATTGCTAATATGTGATATTAATTATAAAAATAGTATAATTATATGTTATAAAAACCCATTCATCAAATTCAACCAAAAAAAAAAGTGTTGTGTTCCAATATGAATAATAAAATGAAGGAAAAAAAATTAAAAGGATTAAGTAATTATAATTCGTGAAATATAACAAAAGCTCTAAAAGCAATGGAAGACACAGAGTTGTCCTTTTGAGAAAAGCAGCTGCTGTTTATGGAGTACCGATTGTTACCCTTGCTAAATGAAAAAGTATTAGTCCTGAGGCAAAAATTAGAACTGGGCCGGTGACAGTGTTATCTTTAAAAGAAGAGGATGTTATTGTTCAGTGGGTGTTGTACAGAGCAGTAATAGGGTCACATGTGACAAAAACTGAATTATTGAAGACGTATAACAATCCGTTACTGTCTTGGACAATCATTTTAATGTGATAAACTGTGAACAAAATAATTTAATTAATGATGAACAATTTTTTACGGTTATATATGAATCTAATCAAGTTAGTCTTCAAGAATCATCAATTGATGGCAATAACGTAATACTGTGCACTTCTAAAGACTTCAGTGAAGACAACGTAATTGATCAAACTATCTCTACTGATGATACAAATTTAGATATATCTGCAAAACCCAGAGTGATTATAACAGAGCTCACAAATATTCATTCTACAAATCTTATAAACAACAAAGTTTATCAATTAGGTATGTAAATGTCAATCTCACATTCATGTTCAATAAATTTAACTTAATGTGACTTTTTTTCAGAACTTATAAAAGAAAATTCAGATCCAGAAAAAACATGAAAGAAGAAAAGTTTAACAATAAAAAAATATTACAAGAAGAAAAAAAATTAATGGCTCAAGTCAAGGAATGATAAAAAAAATCAAGAAAGAACAATAGATTTAATTGAATAATTTGCGTTGATTAATTGTTTAACTGATAAAAAATTTTTTATAAGTTAATTAAAAATTAAAGTAATTCCTTCTTTTGTAAATACGATTGTCTAAAATTGATAAATATATAAAATTTGATCAACTTTGCTGATTTTTTAACTGTCTCAAAAATAGGGTCCTGTGGTTTGAGACACTGGGGACATGTGACTTTAAAGTGTCTCATAAATAGGGTCATGTAGGTTTCCCAAAAAAACCATAATTTAATTAATTTTTGATCAAAAAAACTATAAAAACAATATGAATATTGATTTAATGATCATCAAATTATCGTATAATGCGATTAAAAGTGTATTTTTTTCTTAAATGGATTAATTATTCGCAGGAATGTTCAACCTACCTTATAAAGTACATAGACCTGACAGCGACTTGTCATTTGGAAAAAAAAATTCCCAACAAAACTAAGAATACCTTTATCCTAGCTATAAACAGTTAAAATATATCCTTGACCTATGATATATAACCGATTACAATTAGTTATCTTCAGGGACTGTATCTTTTGCTAACATAGTGCTGGAAAATATTATCGGCAATCACAATTTTAAATAAATAGATTTTTGTTATCTGACATTAAACAAATTTAATCGATACTGAGATCAATTACATATAAGATGATGATGATGATGAGTGGAAATTTTTAACAAGTTTGCGAATTAAAAGTTAAACACAGCAGATTAAATTGACGTTACTGGTAAAGCGAACCAACTAATTTCTTGATATTGACGGTAGTGTTCTATTCGTAGATTAGGCGTTGATTAGGTAGCATGCGATCCAACAGAGTCATATAATGTTGGTGCAATCTCTCTATTAGGTAGAATAGAACAATGAACCTTGGTAAGGAATCGGTAACAAAACAAATTAACTAATCACTGGTACCAATTGCTTTAAATTAACTTTAACTTTAATAGTTAAACTATTATGTGAATTATTATTTATTATCTTTTGAACTTATTATTATTTAGTTTATCTTATCCGCAGGTACATCTAAATCTTACGACATCTATTTATGATGTTCCAGGTCATATATTTCCAGTTGTTAAATTTTATTGTTAGAAATTACTCGTCTCCGGTGTGATAAAGTATTTGGTGTGAAAATTTTAACCACCAATTAAAGAGAGTAAGGAGTTACTTAGTTTTTTAATCATGGGAAATTATAGTAAGCTCGTAAAAAAAAAAAAATTTAGATGGGAAGAATTGTTTTTATAGTTTAAATTTAAAGTAAAAATTTGAAATATTTACAAAAATTTTAGATATAAGTAATCTTTGAACATCATTTTCATCAATAATTTTTTAGAGACATAAATATTCCGGCGTACTTCTTATTAATTAGTTCATTATTTGGGTCAAGAATTTATTGCTTAATTAAAATTTTATTTTTATTTATTCAAGATCTTTCATCCGCGATTATTTAGTATTGACCTTATTGATGTATTCATAACAAGATAGAGTATAAAAAATTTATTTTTAGATAAGACGTATCCCAAAAAATTTGGTAATTTCACTTATGGTAAAAAATTCAATTACGATAACATTAAAGCTTTAAAGGTCAATAGTCCATTTACTATTTTTAACAAATATAATAATTTATCGAGTTTTATCTTTTCAATTAAAACAATGAATCATTTTTATCGTAAAAACTTTACCGTAAAAGTTTGAATTCAAATTTTGAGTGAAATTTTGAAGATACGAAAAAATTATAAGAATACTTTTTGTTGGAAATTTTTTTCTCTATCAATTAAGTTCCTATCAATTTTTCGTATCATCCTTCATCATATAATAATTCAAATTTCATATTACAAACTTTACTTTTTAATAGATTTGAGGATTATTTTCGATAAAATTTTTTGACTGTATAAAAACGTAGTAGTCAATATATTTTTATTTACATTTATTATACTAAAAATTCAGTCTAGTGTATCAATCGTTTGTGAAAATAGGTGTATTAGAATAGAGTTGCATTGATATTAAGAATTCATGGGGCTACTATACTAATACCGATGCATTTTCGTAAACTAGTAACCGATTCGCTTGACTTGGGCTTCACCCTGATGGGTTTTAGGTTTTGGTATATTGGAATATGCTTACGGAAGGTCGCCGGGGCCGGGGTCGGACAAGAGCAGACTGAGCATTGAAACGAGAGGGAATCGATGCAAAGGGGAAGTTGAAAGCCGTCGAATGCATGCATAATCGAGGAGGTCACAACCAAAGCTTCACACACATTACCATTATAACTTTCAAGTCAAACTCAATATGCCTTTACTGGCATGTATTACGTGTAATGTCTGTTGATGTCTGCTACCTACATCCACTTTGTTTCAGTGTTAATTATTCAATCGGTTTTTTTTCAAAAATTTTCACAGCAAAATCCGTAAATAATAAATATAAATACGAAAAAATTTTAATATAAATATGTTTTAATGCTCAATTTATATTTATAAATAAATACGCGTATGAATGACAAAGTCTACTCGGATTATATCTTTAGTTTGCGTCTATATTTACAAGCGTTAATTTTATATTTTTTTCACACATACTGCTTTAATTTGCAAACGAATTCTCGGTCGCTTCGATATAAAAAACTCGGTACAGCATTATTAAAAATAAAAAGTGACCGTCAGAAAATATTGACAAATTTTTTTTTTAATAATTGTCCTAGGTTTAGTAATAATAATCATAATCATTATTATTATTAATTGAAGAATGAATATTATTATTAATTTTAACGAGTCCGATTTCTTTTGAATTGAAAGTACAATTCATTAAATCAAAGCCCAATTTTCCTGGCTCAATGCATTCAATAGGCTCATTTAAAAAAATTCTTTCGGCACAATAAAAACTATATACTTAATGGAATGAAATAAATGAAATAATTTTCTTTATTTTTTATCCAATTAAAACTAACCAAATTATTATAAATAAAAATAACTTACTCGACTTGCTTTCACGATTAGCCATTGTCGGTAGGCACACGATTTTTTATCGAAAGAAATATAAAATATATTTATTAACTCTCAGTAGCTGGTGAATTTAACGTGTATAATATATAATCCCAAAGGTATAGTAGCAGATGAACTCTCGGAAGTGGTCTCGCGCGCCTTATACTCGTGAGTCGTGTGTAAGTCGTTTGTCACACTCTCATGATACCACGAGAGTACCAGCTCGTGTTGTTAGTTTTATCATGAAAGAACACCACCCACGGTTAACCGATTTTATTGCGCCCCACCATGTTGACGTACGTGTAATCGTAACCACTCGGAAAAATAATACTCGATACATCAAAGACAAGATCATTTTTACGCTATTATAAATATGTACATTACAAATTATAAATGTGATAAAAATAAATATCAAAACTCAATTTTAACTTTTGAATAGGTCGATCAAATATTTAAAGGTGTTAATTGGGAAATTTTTTTATCTTTAGTTTTGAGATCTAAAGTTGAGATTTTGTGTTAAAATAGTAAATTTCTTGGGAAAATAGGTCTGGAATATTTGAATGTTTACACTTCAAATGTTTATTCATTATTAAAAGATAAAAACATTTTTAAATTCGAATAGAAACATGTCTTTTTTGTGTTAAAATATCACAAACATGTGTAAACAGAATAGCTGTAAAAATGTGTTAAATTTATACAATCAAAATAAATTGTTTATTAAGGGTTCAAAAAGTTGATGGAATTTTTGAATTATTAAATACAAAAAAAAAAAACTAGATAAGTTATTATAAATTTAGAATTAATTTTAAAAGTTAGTATGAAGTGAGCCAAATCAGCATTTTGTATCGTTATATATTTTATTTATGCGGTATTTCTCTGACTAAATTAATTTTGAATCAATTAATTACTGACCGCAATAATTTATGTGATTTGCGTATTGATCATAAAATTGAAAAATTGAAATAATTGTATCAATATAGTGTATGGACTGTAATGTATTATGTATTCCTAGAGGAAAATGTAGTAATGAGATAGAATTACTATTACATTATACGAATTAGAGTTGGTTCGAATGTGCTACAGAATAATGGATGACACATGACAAATGAGTAGATTACGAATGCAAAACAGTCACAAATTGACTTTAAATATAATGAAAGACTGGCAAAACCACGTTAGCCATCGTTAGCCATTTAGTGTCAGTTTGTTTCAGTCATTTAAATTCATATATTTTAACAGTTATCAAACTATAAAATATGATAATATCCACGCGCTGGCTGTCATTTATTTGTTTTATACTACTAATTATCTTGAGAAATTATTCAAGTAAATCATACTGAAGGAAGGATACATAATGAATGACAAGTTAATCTTAAATAAAAAATATTAAATATATATTTAATAATTAATTATTAATTACATTGCTTACAAAATCTTATAACTTTATTACTTAGCAGTCGACCAGCTTATGCTTAAACGATATGTTCATCTTTTTAAATATCTATCGCATCATTTTTTATCTTATAAGTTATAAGTATCAATTATTCTTTAAACAATAACAACATATAATGATAAATTACAGGTACTATTACATTATTAATTAACTTATTAAATTTTATTTCTAACTTTAATAATTGGAATTTAATGATCTTACCGATTATAGAAATTAAATATGAAGGAAGGTTCCTTAAATATTTTACTTAATATTTAACTAAAGATAACCTCTGTTTTGCCATAAATGGGATTTTTTTTTAATTTATGATTTGAGTTTATCAATTTCAATCACTATATAATTACATTTTTGGCATGTGATGATTATTATAATTTATACAATTAATCAATTAAAGTGAATTTTAATTACATCTTATCAAAATAAGTCATTTAATATTTAGATAAGAACTTATAAGTCATTGAAAGTTAAAATATTTCCTTGACTTCTAAAATAAATTTTGTTTATCAATTTAAGTACCACTTTCTTAAAATTATAAAAACACAATATTTTCATCCATTAATTTTTTTTTTCAAGTCGACACCAATTTGAGGTAATCGTTTCTTTACAAAAATGTTTTAGATATCTCTCTCGTCAAACACCAACTCCAATCTGACTTGAAATCTAAAGTATTCAATGTAATTTAACAAAAAACAAATAGAGATCAATAATAGTATCATCAATTTTCTTGTTAAAATGCTGGATACTAATCCCGAAGAGATATTTTTTTTTAAATCTCACTCATATAAAAATACCCTTAATCAGTACTTCTCAAATCTCATCGTAAAAAACAAAATTTTTCAGAGTTTTATCATCACAAATTCCCAATACTGGTACACTCAACCCTTGATTGAGCTCAGATCTAGAAAACAAATAAATAATTAAATTAATGAAGTCAAAATTAAAGTCAAAATGAAGTATCAAATATTTAAAAAAAAAATATATTTATAAATTACCTCAGCCTTTTGAGTATTGAGGGACTGACACTCTGGTAAACTGCACTGAGGCAGTGAAAATACTGATCTGTACAAAACAGAAGCGAGCAAAGATCCTCCGATGGGTCCAAACCAGAAGATCCAGTGGTGGTTCCAGTAGTTGTTCCAAATCGCGGGAGCGAGTGACCTCGCAGGGTTCAAACTGCATCCGGTGTATGGACCGAGCCCCATACACAGAGCAGCGATCGTTAGTCCACACTTAATAACTCCGGAATCCGTATTATTGGCATTGCGCTCGTCCCACATAGCACAAAGCATGAACATTAGGACTGCCGTCGCGATTATTTCTCCAAGGAGTCCTTGGATCACTGGGATTTTTCCGTGGAGATCGGTAATGCAGAATGTTTCTGCTGGTGACGTTGATGAAGCCAGAAGGAGGTCCGACGGTGTTACGACCTTTTATTTAAATTATCATTATTATCAGATGAGAAAAAAAATATTTATATTCAATTTAAAGATGATTAAATTACCTTGAGTAAACCGTAGCCTAATATAGCGCCGAGGCATTGGGCAACGAAATAAACACACGCTCCAGTCAATGATTTTTTTCCCATAACAACTGCGCCTACTGTTACAGCGGGGTTAATATGAGCTCCGCTAATGTGTCCAATAGACTGCAATAATTATTTTACAATTAGTTACTTATGTCAACTCAAAATAAAATACCAGGAGAGCTAATACACGGAAAAAAGTAAACTGTAATAAATAACAGTCGATTTATAATAAGTAATGATCAACTGCTAAAAATTACCATTTCAAACAGTAAAATCGTAATTTTACTATTCACTTTATAATATTTACCATTTAAACGTTACAATTTACTCTTTACATGAAAGAAAATACTATTTCAAACAGTAATATTCGCTATGTAAATGTCTAAAATGTTGAAGTATAATAATTAAGAATTCAGACTTTGATATTTATCATTTCGTACCTAAAAAATGATGTTATGATATGTAAAAAGTATAAAATAAAGTTAGTAAATTTCTAATACAAGCAACGTCAATATTTATAAAGTAAAATGGTAAATTTTAAACACAACGCTAAAAATCAAACTGTAATTAATGACTTGCTTGGACTGGTAAAATGTATATTTTAGAAGTAGAATTTTTACTGTTTCAAATGTTATTAAATTCTTTCAAAGTGAGACCCCCTTCTCTTTCATCTAAGTTGTACCTAAAAATGATCTTATGATATGTAAAATATCGTTAGTAAATTTCTAATACAAGCAACTTCAATATTTACAAAGTAAAATGGTATATTTTAAACGCAACGCTAAAAATCAAACTTTAATTATTGACTTGCTTGGACTGGTAATATGTATATTTTAAAAGTATAATTTTTACTATTTCAAATGTTAAATTCTTCCAGAGTGAGAACCCCTTCTTTTTCATCTGAGTTCCCCTTCTCCTCATAATATGGACTATGTATTGAAATGGCAATTTTTACTGTTTGAAACTGTAATTTTTTAAGATGAAAGAGTCGTTATTTACTATAGTGACAGCTACTAATCACTTATTTTGGATATTAAATTATAAATTGTGGCTTTTATACTTTCTACATTAAGTTCTGTAATATTTATATTTTCGCCACCCCAATGTCCACTTTACTGTTTGAAACTATAAAAATTAACGGGAATCCGAGTGAATAATTACATCAGTTTACTTTTTTCCGTATACACTTGAAACAAATTAACTTGATTCTTGAAAAAAAATTATTAAACCAAGAAAAATATTTTGAAGAGTTTCATTGTCTTATAATTGTTTTAAACTAAGAAAAAAAATTCTTGAACCAAATAGAATTTACGTAAAGAAAAAAAAATTCATCAATTTAAGAATTTTTCTGAAGAACCGAGTTAAGTATTTTCTCAGTGTATAATTAGTTTATAATTAAGTGATTTACCTGTGCAACAATCATAACTACAATTCCCCAAGCAAATGATACTTGAAGTGAAGAAGGTGGAGTGCCCATACTCCCGACACATCCCATACATCCTAAAAAGACCAGTACAGCCGTTCCAATTAATTCGGCTAAGCCGCATTTAGTTGTTTCCCATGCAGAGCACTCATCTTGGAACAAGCTTTTAAGCCCTGAAACAAATTTTAAATTAATAATTATTATTATTATAAATATCAAACATTAAATTATTTAATGGACATTATCTTTAATTACAATTATTATATAAATTCACGTAACCGTTATTTAGAGGCCAACGTAAAATTAACATGTGAAAATGTAAATATCCAAGTGGTTTTATGCAAATTGTTACTAAGAGGCGGCGCCCGCAGACTAAATTGCAATAGCCACACAATTATATTACGTAATTTCATGTTTTCATCTAACGGGTACAATATTATCTAGAAAATTATCATACTTTTACTATAACTATACCTACGTAATTTACATTTTTTGGTTTAAAATATATTTTTCATTTTAAAGTACTTGAACTCCTTTCTCAAAAAAAAAATCCTACAATGTCAAAAATCAAAAGAAAATTCGGTGTGAATTTATTCTCTCCGAGTACGGAGTTTTTAGACTAAAGTAAATTCCATAAACTGAAACAAGTTCTATATGAAAAATTATTAACATAAATTCCAAATAATTTCTCTCAAGCTTAAGTTCGTAAATATTAATTACATTTTTCATTTTTTAATATTACTGAAATTAAATGAATTACAGCAATTTTTAGAATTCCTGAACAAATAAATTAATGCAGAGAGAATTTATTTAACAATGTTATTTTTCGAAATTGAACAAAATATTAATGCATTTTTCTTCAATTTTAAAATTTATTTGTTACATCAAATTAAGGAAAAACGTGACATTAAATTTGAAAATTTCTAAAAACACATTTTGTAATTTTTAAACGAATAATAACTATTCTTTTATATTTATTCAATAAAAATAAATAGTTTACTTAGTGGAGTTTTTTTATTTAAAATTTATCAGGTAAGCATAAATTGTAACTCGCAAAATAAAATTTCATCAGGAGAAATTTCGCACTATATGTGTATCTTTTTGATAAATACAATCGAAACTAAACAAAAAATTATTGACATCATTTTAAATTGTCCGTGACCGCGAAAATAAATAAACTAAATTTATCAAAAAAAATTAAATATTTATAAGATAAAGTTATGAATCAACAAAAATAAGGATAAAATATAGTCTAAAATTAGTCAACCAACTCACAAAAATTTTTTTGTTATTTTCCATGTTAACAATTTAATCGCCATAAATAGAATCATATCTTTTAACTCAATAAACAATTCTTTTCGCACGCGAACAAAAGTAATAACAATGTTTACTTTCACTAATTTTTGGCACAGTTGTTTTCGTTCGTATACTTAGTTACTTATTTTTTTCAGAAAAAAGATAGTGCATAGAAAAGTATAATTATTATTTATTATTATAACTCCAGAGTTATTAAACGAGTCATGAAAGCAAGGAGTTATTAAAATTATTAAATTATACGACGTGAAATTATTTTTTATTATAACTAAAATAGATTTATTCAAACTCTTCCATTATACTTTTATTTATTCAAACCAAATAAGAATAAATAGCAGGTAGACTTGCTAATCAGCAAATGATTCGATTAAATTTATCTACTTAGCAATCGCTGATTTATTGTCTTGAGTAATCCGCAATCGGTAAGCTAACAACAGCGGCTATAGATTTGTTGTCAGCCGCGGCCAAAGAAGATTTCTCTCTTTTGATTTATATGTTTGTATTTTGTTGTCCATATAATCAAATCAATTTAGCTAACGCACTATGTTATTACATTACATACTAGTTGACCCTACATTCGTTGACCTGTCTAAATTTGGAAGATAGACAGATAAATAGATTTATTTATACCAAGACAGCTGGGATAATGACAAACACGTATAGATTTAACATAATAATTCAATACAAGCAAAAATTTTAATTTTTGTTATTCAACTTTTTTTTCAAAACGATTTTTTTTTTTTTTTAATTGAAACCAAAAATACAAAATTTATGAAAAATAAATAAAAAAAATTCTCAAATTTACTAATTAAAAAAAGAAAAAAAAAACTACTCTATTCAGCTGTTCTCGATTGATACGCTTTTCAACGAGCAACATTTGATTTTTATTTATATAGTATTGGTGTAATAATAATACATATAGATTTTATTATATTATTTATACTCACAATCATAAAATATTATATAACTTGACGCCCATTTCCGCATACTTCTATTGCATAATTTTTTATTGTTACCACACTTAATAACAATCGCCTAATGTAACTAACTATTCAATCGTTTATTAAATATTGTCCCATAATTCTTTCATAACAAATAATTGCATTAGTCGACTACCGAGTTTGGCGGTTTAGTCCCTACGGGTTAATAAAATTTTGTAATTCTACTTCCTTGATTTATTATTTCAAATAATTGTCGAGAGAATAGAAAATAAATTTCAGTGAATAAACTTCTTGATAAATTGCAATCATTTTTTTTATTGACAAATCATTGACAGTAATACTTTTAACCTAACCAGTGGAATTTTTTATTGTTACAAGCTGTTATATGTCTTATCGATGTTATTGAACACGCTTATCAAAGGTATCATTAAATTTTTGTCTATGGAAAATAATTTTTTGTTATAATTAAAACACACTTGGTAACACAAAAAATGTTATCGTATTTTTATTTTTTATTTTTTACAGGCGTAACTGTTTATTTATAGAATACTATCTATGTCGAAGTCAATGTTAGGTATTTTTTAAGACCGTCAAATAGTTATTTTTTGTAATACAGCGTTGTCAAATCAGACTTGTGGTTTTTTAGATTTCCAGCAAACTATTTATGTAAAATTTGCCAAGGTTAATTGAATGAACACCTATGTGATTATTTGGTGAATTTGCGAGCGCAAGTATTACAGTAGGTCAAGTTTAACAAGTCGGTCGATGACCTACGGCTTCTTTCGGTATAAACTACCTGTTACAAAGCAATTTGCACAAACTTGTTCTTACTCTCTATACTCCGGCATTCTTATTAAATCTCAAACTGCTCGAAAGATTTTACCCTTTGAAACGACTGCACAAAAAGTGACAACTTATATTTACTTTTTTATAGAGTAAAAAAATTTCCAAACAAAATTAATTCGTGAAAATAATTTTTACAAACAATTGACAAATGTTAAAAAATAATTACGATAACAATTATGCAACTCGGTATTAACGGATGACGTTATTGATATTAGATAATTGAAATGACATTTATCAAATAGATTGTTTTGTTAAGCCTCACACGTGGGAGATAAAAGAATACTTCCATTCATTTTATTAGAGGAAAAAAATGCATGTAATTTATAGTATATAACTTTTCATCTCTATTTGCAACTGAACAATTACCTTCAAATTTAAAAATAAAAAACAAGTTTTTAACATAATTTCCGGAAAATAAACGCCCATTTTTTTACAGTAAAATATTTAATAAAAAAGATTTCTAGCAATTTAAAGTTATTTATTTTACGGCAATAACAAATATTCTACTAAAAATTCATGACTTTTTTCTGAAAACAATCGCGCATTAGATGAAACTTTCGTTTTTGTAGTGTATTCATGTGTAAAAAGCGGTGCTATATTAGCAAAATTGCTATTATTGCAAGAACAATAAAACGAAATATATATCTTTAGAAAATCAGTTTCAAAAAAATTTTCTATAAACAAACGAATAATGAGGAAAGACAACGATCTACATTGCGGAAGTTTTATTTTATTATTTAGCATATTAGCTTCTTTATATAAATTTCACACTCTTATCTTTACGCTTCATCCATTATCCATTCTTAATTTTTTTTTCTCACGACATTTTTATAATCTTCCAACCTAGTCGTAAAAAGTTACCATGTGTGATAAAAAATGTTACACATATTGATGTTACTCAATTGTTACAAAACAATGGCTCGAAAAAAAGGTAACACCTACTGTGTGATCGTTTTTTTTATGATAGTATTTAATAACACGATTAACTACTGTATTGTCGCTTATATCGAATATCACCCTAATCGTATGCATACATATCCATATAATATTCGTATGTGTGTACATTACAAACGCAGCATCCAGAGCCAATCAATACCAGCAGAAAGTAGTAAACGGTTAGTAAGGGTCGTGTATATTTAAAGAAACGGCCATGGCCTTTATACAAAATTCTTTACACTCTAGATGTCACGCGACTTTATATTAAATCAATTCAGATTTATGTGGAAAAGTTATTGTTCTAAAAATAAAACTCGAATTAATTTTGGAGGCTTAAAGGATTATGTTATACAATGTCGTTTTTTCAAACTTAATAATTTTTTCATTTAATTTAAATACCAATTTTTGCAAGGAACTTTTATCGATTTTGGAAAAAATCATTAATGTCCAAAATTTTTTAAAAATTTATCATAATTTTTTTTTAACAAATACATGATGTAAGAAATATTTTTGACAATTAAAAATATAAATTTTTTTAATTTTCAATGCGTCCATGTAAAAAATCGGTAAATAAATAATTATAGATAGTCTAATTAGATAAAATTGGTAATTTAATTATCCGCTATCCTTGAGTGCCAATTATTCAATCTAATCCTCGTTTGATGTTAATAAATGATAACATATATTTGTTCTTGATAAACGATAATCGACAATCAGTTTAATTTGATGCTCATCAGATAAGAAAGCAAAAATAAATAAATCTTGACCAGCTTTCTACAACTCGTGGAAACTAGGAGCAGTGCCAAAGATACAGTTATTAAGTATTCCGCGTTTGAGTAAACAGTGCGCCAATAGTGATTTATTTATGACCGAAGATTTGAATTCAAAACTCGATTGCTTTCGTTTCGGTTATTACCATACAAAGCAATTTGGATTCATTCACCGTTATTGATCTTATTTATTTTGGCAACAAATCAATTTATTTTTTTTATCCCATCATTGACCCTCATAAAACCAATTATTTTTATTTTTAAATTAAAAAAAATTATTTTCTAAAATAAAACAAATTTTGAAGTTTTTCATTTCAAATATTTTTTGTGATGAAAATTTTAAGTTAAACAATTTATTAAAGTAACGAAAAATTTTTAAAAATTCATCGAGTAATTTTTGTATTTTAGAAGTTTTAATAGCTTAAAAAAAAAGATTCTTTGTTTTAGTCACACACAAGTCATTAAACTTGCATATCTCAGAATAAAATTTCATTGTCGAGCATTATTGTTATTAAATTAATTTTTATATTGCGCAGCAGCGAACGAGATAAGTGTTGTGGTTAGAAGAATATTAGTCAGTCGATGTTAAAAATTTTTTTTAAATTAATTACAAGTAATTAACAAATTTTTCATAAAATTTTATAAATTTCAAAATTTTTAATTTTTTAACAATAATTTTTTAAACTAAAATTTCACCAATGATCTGTTCGATTAAAATAAATTTTTTACGTTTCATATATTTTTAATTACAAAAATTTTTCCGTGGATAATTGACTAAAATAAATCATCTCCATAGTAAAAAAGAAAAATCTACTTACAAGGAGCTTTTTTCTGTGCAGCATTAGTAAATTTGGCCGCAGACGGCAAGCTTATCGTCGTCTTTGACTTTCCGATATTATTATCAGCGGTACCATTTGTCGTCACTATCGATATGTTGCTCGGCTCCATCTCGTTTTGCACAGCGACCGGTGCTACCTGGTGATACAAAATAAAACAAATACAGCATTACATTTTCAATTATCATAAATTTATATAATCAACTCAAACAAAAAATCTAACAGTTAATCTCTGAAGCATTGATAAATTTAAAGAATCCTCTAAGCTCTAGGATTTATCAGATAACTATTTTTATTATTCACAACTGTATTGTTTATGCTAGGATTAATTAAGATTTTTTTGTATACAATCTTTGATTAAACATCAAGTGCAATAATTAGATTTAGATATTATAATTATATTATCACAAAATTCGTTCCACTCACCCTCACAAATGGGTTGAAATTTGAAAAAAAATGTAATACTGCAGCTTATAATTATTTTGGACTTAAATGTAATATAAGTAGCGATAACAGATTTACTCTGTATCAGAAACCGTAAAGTCGCGAGAACACGTTTAATAAATAGTAAGTAGTAAGTAGTAATATGTGGTAGGTTATCGCGGGCTTATGTGATCGCGTGGTTGAAAGAGACTGAATTGAAGCTTGGTAAAGCGTGCGCTCTACTATATATGTAGTAAAGAGGCTCTCACTGTACAACTGTTAACGACCGCGACGTGACATAGCGCGTCTTCATGTAACATTATATCCAGCCTCACTCCCGCTTCGCGTCTTTTCACAAAATATACGCACGAATCGTTAAACTAAACACGATTTTATTATACCCATGTGCTTTCAACAGTAAACAAATTAATTTCACGCGCTTATTCCTCATATCGTACGCTAATATTTACATTTCACATATATCACAATAGATTTTTATCATATTATTATAATTAAAATAATTACACAAGATCTTGCTAAATATTAAACATTTAGCTTTTTTTTATCGCTTACACAATCTTTCTGAATAAGCAATTACTAAAAATTATATTAGCTTGATCGCCGATTTACGAAGTTGATTTACTTGTAATTTGTTGTTTAAATTATCTATTAGCATTTTTAAATACAACTAAAATTATTTATAATATTTGAAATAAAATTTTAAGAAAATTTTAATTTTTTTAGTTAAAAATTTACTGTTTAGCAATCTCTTACCTTGGGTGATATTGAGTTGTAAATTTCCCCCTCATCGTCAATCAGTTTTTCCATTATTACTTTTATTAATTATTATTATATTTGGTAGTAATTAGATAACCAATTATTTTTGTTTTGAGTTATTGGCACGATTTATCTTTTTTAGTGAGCTTACTCTTAATTTGTTTGCCGTGGATATTTATAAAATACGTCACAAAACGCGGAACATCCGCGTGAGATGCACTCCAAATCGATTGAGACTAGATGTAGGTCGGTCTAGGTCACGGTAAATCCGAGCCATCACGTAAACTACCGAAATACGACGGCTGACTTTTCGTTAACGCGCAGATGTGAGCTTTGTACTATATTAGTCCTTTAGCTGGAGAGGGGAAAGCCAAATGCACTTGCGTGCTCCGAGATTTTCAAATTTTAAAATCGAATTTTCTCAAAAAAATAGATTTGTTGTTTCTAAGGGGTTAATTTCACGTTTTTTTTTTTTTTTTTTTTTTTTTTTTTTTTTGTCGTTGTGGGGTCGTACTTAACAAGTATTATCAATCAATACTTGTGTCATCCTTAAAAACATGGGGTTGTGAATTTATTTGTATCGAAGTTTAACTTTCCGCGCGTTACGCGTTTTAAAGAGAATGCGATACTGCGGCGAATCGCGCGGATGTCAAAATTCTAATCGCTACGCTTTAATTTTTTACATTATCTTCGGAAATATCAGTCGTATTAAAAAATTCATAAAGACCTTTTTTATATATTTTTCACTTCTCAACTTTTTTTTTTATAAACTTTCTCGTCAAACCGACGGTTCCAAAGTTATACCGCTTAAAACAATGAATTTATTAATTACGATTGTATGTACCACCTCAAAAAAAAAAAAAATGACCTACTCTTGTAGGTCATATTCCTCGACCCAAAAAATGCAAAGAGAAATTGATTTTAGCCATGGACATAAATGCATTCTCCAGCTGAGGGACTATATCAGGTCTAATGGAATATTTGCGTTGCAGCGGAGATTTTAACGACTTTTATCGATCTGCTGTGATAAGGACGAGGCGATTTGTTTATCAATGCAAGGCTATGATCTTCAATATTGTGTTTTTGAAGTGAAATTTAAATTTATTAATTTCTTTAGAAAAATAATTTTTGTTTAGTTAAAAAATTAAATATTTTGTTTTATTGATAAGAAAAAGAATTAAAATTCATGTTTGCTTAAATTGTTTTTTTAGTAAATATTTATTTTAAGAAATGTATACTAAATGGTTATAAACTGAAAATTTATTTAAAAAAACTTTCTTGAGTAAAAATTGAATTCTCTTCATAAAACTAAAAGTGACAATAAAGTTCATTCATTGTAAAAATAAAATCCAAGGTGTAATTAAAGTTGTTACTTTCATTTTAGAATTAAAACTACAATTACACTCTTTTAATTATTATGAATTCATATATTTAAACATTTATAATTTATATATGTATATTTTTAATCACTTTTTCGCTATGTAAAGAGGAGGAGAAATCTAGTACGGTGCGGAGCATGACTTAGCTTTAATAATAATGACAAAAATCTAGTTTTCACGACTCATCAAATTAATTCTATGACACAAATAATAGATCTACTGATTTACTGTCAGAAAAGTTCAATTTATCACCCGTTGAATCAAACACTCAGCGTTAAATTAAATTAATCTTGAGTTTTTTTAATGTTAAGAGAAAAAAATAATAACATAACGCACAATTTTCGCATAACAAACGCATAATACTCTCTACTGCATTTCTTTTGTATGATTAATAGTGTCTTACTTATTTTTACTTTAAATTTGAATTATTTTAATCATTTATATTAGTATTTTCAAGAATACGAATTTTACATAATAAATTTTGAATGGGAACAACAATAAATTCAAAGACAACATAGTCTCCTATTAGAATAAAATTCCTGAATATACAAAGTTTCTTGAGCCAAGAAAATTTATTCTTGCTTCAAAATAACTTTTGTTTTCCTTAAAATTTTCTTGGCGCAAGAAATTTATTTGTTTTTTGTGTCTACAAACTTATTACTGGTCAGTTAATATTTAAATATAAAACATTATCTTCTACTATATTCTATAGATAACTTAAAGTGTAAACTATTTATTTTACTAAAAGAAAATTTGATACAAAAATCATTTTTGTCCAACATGTAACATAATATTTTATTAGACACATAACCTTAAATTTCTAACCTACAAAAAATACTCACCATATATTTTCTGCCAATTTGAAAATTTTATATTTATACTTCGTGAAACTTTATTAATGGAGGAATTTTATTTATAATTGATATCTAATCTATTTGAATAACTTGGTAGATAATAATTTAATAATGAATCAAAGCTTTTGTTGTAAAAAAACCAATATAAATGGACACTAGTTAGGTTAAAGGTTATCTTTCTCCTATAATTATATTTATATAGATACAACTGCTATACCCACTCGATCCAAACAATATATCACGTTACCGATTCCGAAAGTGGGTATCTCAAATACCCTTTTGTTTTACAGAGTCAAAAAGGCGTATAAAAAAAAAATTTATTTTTCCAATTAACTTGAATATGTGTATTTAATTTATAAATATATAAAAAATGGTTGAAAAAATTTTTTGAGGTACGCATTTTTGACTTTTAAAAAAAATCTTATAGCCAAAAAAGCGTATATAAAAGAAAATTTTTGTTTCATTATCTATTTTTGCTTTAAAAATTGAAAGGTTTGAACTTTTGGCTATGAAAATTGAAAAATTTTTCAAATTCGAAAAATTATTGAGTTCAGTTAGATTTTTTTATTTTTACGTTTATTGTCCCAAGAGTTATTTGTTTTTCTAATTTTCAATTTAAAAGCCAGAAGTTCAAAACGTAAAATTTACAAAGCAAAAATCTAGAAAATAAAAACAAAAATTTTTTTATAAACGCCCTTCAGGCTTTAAGAATTTTTTTCTTAAGCATCGCAAAAAAATTTCATTTTTCATGTTTTCAGTAAATATTTACATTTTTAAAATCTTCAAAAGTTATTTCGATAAAATTCAATGACATATATGTATGAATGTAACAAACTTAAATATTCCACATTAACTTTTAAGGACTCGAAAAGGTAGAAAAATTAATTATAATATTTATAAGCCAAGAATTTTTAATTGGCTGTTAATTAGATGATTCTTATATAAACAAACAAATAAAAAAATAATTGTTTACAAGGAAACAAAATGTTCTTATCAAACTATCACGTATTATGAAGATGCAGTGATCACAGCATGACCAGATAACAATCAATCAGAATTTTCCTCTATTAAAAAAAGATTACTCCTTTAACGATGATAATAATTGTGTATTTTAATCTCGGTCATTATCAATAAGATAAAATAATTTTAAAAACCCACAAGTAAGTTTCCATGCATTTGCATGGAAAAATAACTGAAAATGATCGATAACGAAATCTAAAAGGATTAATGTTCAAGTATCGAATAATCCATCTATCGCATTTGCGCACCTACACATCTGTCACATAAATCATATTATAAAAATAGTATTATTAGAAGTCTGTAAATTGTAGATATGTAGCGACGCCTTAATAACAAAATTACTGTAATACGCGTTAGAGCATGTGATGTCTAGAAAGCGAACATAGATCTATCTTTATCTTTGCATAAGTACTTGATTGTTTAATTTGTTTATTTACTTAATGCATAAATTTGAATGCCTTTTTTTCTGATGTGACATTTAATTTTCGACCGATAATTTGTTATGAAAAAATTTTTTACAGAGCTGATTATTTTCAAAGTAAATATTGAAATGAAATAATTAATATTCTCGAATGTGTCTGATTGAACAAAAAGACCTCGAGTTTGAGGAACTGATAAAAATACTTACATCCGCGTACAATGGGAATTAATGAATGCAATAAAGTGATGGATGAACAATGATGTGAATAGTGATAAACTGATGCCCATGTCCCCGAAAGTAATAAAGTAATAAAAGAATAAAGTAAAAGGAATGGGCGATGAGAGCAGAGTCAATGGATCCAAGTACGATACTACTGAATAGAACATTACATGACACATTGAAGTTTACGTTAAAGTAGATGCCAGACATTCTGAGCATGAGTTACAGGATATGATCACAAATTAATGCTTGTCGTACTTTACTCTTTAACATTCTCTCTATATTTAATGATATATTAATACTTTAATATTCTCTATATAATTTTCTTGTCTGTCCATTATTATTTATTTATAAACACTCTCAATTTATAAACCGTGTATTATATGGGATCATTGAATGATTCTATAATTGTCGGTAGAATTTGAAAGAAAAAATTTCCGGTATTTATTTTTGAAGATAAATTTTTTGAATAGTGTTAAAAAATTTAGAGTATCAAGTTCATAGGTTGTAAAACATAAATAAATGATACAATGAAAAGAGCGGAAGCAATGGATGGAATATTGTAACAAATATGTAACAAAGTTATTCGTTGATTAATAATTAGATGATGAGCTAATAGAAATTATTATAATCGTATTAGGATAATTATTAAATCGTTAAATTTTTACATAATTCTTTCTACTTCAGTTATTATAATATATCCGCGTTCTATTTCTTTTTAATCAGGTGACATAATTCTTGAGAAATAAACAATTTTAATGACTATTCGTTGAAAAAAAAAAAAAAACGATTAATAATAATTGTATCCTGAAGAAAAAAATTATTTGAAGGAAGATTTTAACTTGAATTTTTATTCAATCAGAATATTTTTTTTAAGACTTGATTTTTTTCAAATAAAACTAATTGTGAAACTAATAACTTTCAATATTCATTCATAGAGTAAATATTTCTGTGTACACACAAATTACGCAGAAGTTTATCAAATTTTTTTTTTTATCGTCTTCTACGCTTTTATTTATGTGTCTAATATAATTAAGTCTCATTAAATAACAATAATTTTTTTTAACACTGTAATATTTTAAAACCCACGACAATAAAAAATGAATCAAGACTATTTATATAAACATATTTACTTATATTAATCATGATTAAATATTT